AAAAAATTTATTAGATAGCTCGGACTGGGATTCGAACCCAGAATCTTCCGAAGACATGTCGGCTACTCTACTATTTGAGCTATCCGGTCTATACTAAATTTCCTTTCACTTAAGCCACACCGTCCATCTTACGGTTAGCATTTTTTAACAAATATAAATAATGCTGTGAATCGGGAAAGAATAGGAGTTACGGATAATTATTACGTGAAGCGTTCCGGGGAAGAATATATATATTAGGGTGTTTCAAAAAAATCGGCTTTTGTGATTTTTTCAAATGGCCAGCAAATTCTCTCAGAGAATGCCAAAATAAGGACCTTGTCAAAATATGAGTTCTTAATTTGAAGATTTACAGGTCACGGATCGTAATTTTCTATTCCCCCTTAAAAACATAGGAAAAAAAGGTTTTTAACTTTAGAATTTTATATCTTCGGATCTAATCAACTTATGGCAATGATCATCTCGGATTCTTATGTAAAATTGAACGCTTAACAAAAAAGGTCTCTTATCATTTTTTCATATATTGACTCCTTCCCGAGTTATTCAAAGTCAAAGTTTAATTTTCATCGTATTTTCGGGTTTTTTTAACTTTCATCGTTATGTAATAAAAAAAAACACTTATTTATACCTAAGACGTAGGAAGTAGTATAAAAAAAACAAAAACAAATATTTCAACAACAAATTATATATTATATTCTATAATACTGTGAAAATTGAAAGATATTGATTGCTTAACTGTTACGTTAAGTCTGTTTTATTACAATTTGGATACATCTCTCTGTGTTTTTTAACAGCTTGTAATAAATACTGAAAATCTTCTTCATCTTTTGTAAGAGTTAGATTATACTCACTTATTAAAGATACACCACGTTCTGCTGTATCATTTATAACTCGGACTTTACTTAAAAACAAGATAGCTTTCTGGTAACTCTCATTAGTTGGCCATAATGAAATGTCATCATCGAGAAAGTCATATGGTAAATTACATTTTTTTAACAAAAACAGAGAATGCTCTGAGACTAAGTCACATAAATCAATTGTCAATAGTGACTTTACGTTGTCTTTTATCACAAATCGCTTGAAATTTTTTGCATTAGCTTTCGAAGATTTAATATTTACTACCATTTTTCTTTTCATATCCAGTGAAACATTTGCATCGAATAACGAAAAAACAACTAATTCCTCAGATAGGTACCATAAGTGATCGGACATTTTTTCAGCGGCAATTTTAGCGAAAGAAGGATTGTTTTGGCTATAAAGTAATAAGTCTTTCATTAAAGTTAAATCATTATTCGTTGCTAATATGCCAGATGAAGCCTGAAACCATGTTGGTATATAAAATCTTAGAACAAAATGCAAATTTGTCGTATTCCGGTTATTTCCTTAAAGTTAAGGTTAAATTGATTGCGGAACATGAATATTTTTAAAGAATAGATGGCTTTTGCCATCCAACGAGCGTGGTGCATAGCACCAGGTCGTTTAAAAGAAATTTGTGTAGATGAAGTAATATTTAAGAATAGTAATGATAGCTCCAGAAGTTCACAGTAATCATCTCTTGGTTGTGCTACCTAAAAATTAGTTAATAAAATAATCAATAGTTATGATAAGTGATCCTCAAATTTTATCTAATATATTACTCGAAATTATTTCAAATATAAATTTTTACTGAACTATTTTTTTAAATTTTAAACTCAAAAAATATAATTTAAGATGTACGCTTAAAATTTGCACACAATATCTAAAAACATTTGAATATATTATAACTATAACCTTACTTGTAATTGATTCGTGATAAACGTTACTATTTCTTCTTTCACATCTTCAAGAGCATTGAGTATGATTGGATCCAAAATTCCTGGGGTATAATTTGAGGTGTTGAGATTACTCCACTTATTTTTGAACCGTAAAAAAATTGGCACATTTGGGCCGGATGAAGTGGGCCAATAGATTTCAAACACTTTTTTTAATACTATTTCAAAAATATGATGTCTGCATGGTAGATATACCAATTTTTTTTCCAACTCGTCTTCAATCAGTTTACAAGTTCCACCGTGAATTCCTAGATAACAAAATATATAACTTAACATAAGTGAAAAATTAATTTATACGATAATGACCAGTTCAAATCTAAATATTAATGCAAATGATACGATATTAATTTTATATTATATCATGATAAAGTCTTTAAGAAAACAATAACATGAATTAATACCTGTATTAACAGCCGCCGTATCGAAAGACAGTCCTACTATTTTACGACTAATACCCCAATCGAATAGAATTTTCACAATAGCATCAGCCTGATTTTTAGGAGTTCCAGATTTCATTTTGGGTACACCTAACAGTTGTTCACTGCCTGATGACGATATAATAATTGGCAGTCTATCAACTTTTTCCATACCAACTATATCAGGTAATATTTTCCCGTCCCAATGTAGCACAAAATTATCCTGGTTTTTGAGTCCATCTTTCAATTTAGCAGCCATATCACTTCGAAATTTTTTGCGAGCTCGATGAATTGTCGAATGACTCAATTTACAGCCTTTCATATCATTTAAAAGGAAAATTCGAGATGAGTCACCAGTAAAAAATTGGATGATGTAATAAAAGGTCTAGTTTTTCCAGAAAAACTTACCAGTCAACTTGTTGAATAAACAAGTGTCATCTTTTTAATATTTTTTACAAAAAAAAAAAAATAAAAATGAAAATAGTGAATGAATCGATGAAATTATTTTTAAGAACTAAAGTATTCATTTAATAAAATTACCTCGCCTATTTTCTGTAATTCAAAATAAGAATAGTAAAATAAAATAGCAATAAACAGCTCATTGCATCTGGGTCATTCTATGTCAAATCGACCAATAGTTGGAATCGACCCCTTTCGATTTGGACGAATTTTGGTCAGAAGTTTTCTTTTATCATATAACGAAGTTCTGCCAAAGGAAAAAAAATAAAAAAATTTTTTTCAAAAGATATGCAAACTCAAAATTGGCGATTTTTCCAGTTTTTTAATTTTGTTTTTGTAATATCTCGAACGCTAGTAGAGTCATTTGGGGTAAATGTGCGCAGTGGGTATATATATAAGCGTGCGCAAACCCATTCATTTGAGTCCCAAATACATGGGATTGCGCACTCTTACCCACTTATGAAAGATCATTCCTGTATCTATACTAGCGTTCGAGATATTACAAAAACAAAATTGAAAAACTGGAAAAATCGCGAAATTTTGAGTTTGCATATCTTTTGAAAAAAATTTTTTTATTTTTTTCCTTTGGCAGAACTTCGTTATATGATAAAAGAAAACTTCTGACCAAAATTCGTCCAAATCGAAAGGGGTTGATTCCAACTATTGGTCGATTTGACATGGAATGACCCAGCTACAATATATACGGCATTTCTGCTGCTAACTTTTCCACGATCAAGGGCAGCTGCAAGTTCCTGTGTCATGATATTCATTAGAGGTGCTTTTCGTTTTGATTTCTTTTTTAATTCGTCTTCAAAATCAGAGATATTGTTAGAAATTTGACTAACGGTAGAAACGGTAGATTTTGATTTTTGACTGAGAAGAAGGGTCTCAGTATTCGTAAGTGCCTCATTTTCTAAAACGTTCAAATTGAAATGAAATACAACTACAATAAAAAATCAGATAAAATTTTTAAACAAAAATTATAGACTTTACAGGCTCTATTGATGATAAACTATTATTTTAATGATTTATCATCAATATTACTCTAACTAGTAACTATTTTTTAATAAAATTATGTCTACTTTTATAATTTTTTTTTTAAACGAATGATATCATTTGCGAATATTTAATTAATTTCGGTTATAGACAAATAAAAAAATATGCCATTATAAGAAAATTTAGCAATAAAATAATAAAAAAAATATGTTAATAATTCAAATAGATCTTTGAATATTACCGCGTACTAACAACCACGCACCCTGACAGCATCAAACAGAACTAATCAAAAATCAGAAATCGGTATCATTCATGTAATCGAGACCTAAATAACCTCCAAATTTGATCTTAAGATTAATAAAAAAATTGTATCATCGATCGATATTTATTTAAAAACAAAATTAAGATAAAAATCTTACCATCTCTATTTGCATTCGTTTCACTCTGATCTAAACAACAAATTTCCATATCTTCAGTAATAGGCCCAAAATCGTTTATAAAACCACGTCAAGATGGTTTTCTTTGGCTTTCCAAAAAATGTTTTTTTGTAGCATCAATTTCATTGAGAGCATTAGCATGGGAAATATCAAACAATTTTTGTAAATCATTACAAAAAATTGATTCTTTCTTCTTTTGTGTTGGAGATTTTTTCTGACGTTTACTCTTTGATAAAAGTATCCACCTGTTATGAGATCGAACTATTGACAAAATTATAGAAGGTTCTTGACGTAGTGGAATTCCTGTTTTTCGCCAAAGTTCTATCAGTTTTTTTGTCGTATTGGCTGAACTTTGTTTAATTGTTAAATTACAGGTTTTATGGTGGTAAAAGAAGACCGACATAACCTCTTCGAGTAATGGAAGCTTTCTTCCGACAAAATCTTGATTCATTTGACCAATTAAATAGATTTCTTCTCTCATGATAAAAAATTTTAAGTCAGCTTGTAAATAAATAGAAATAATAAAGTCCACTTTGAATTATTAAACAAACATTGTTTTAAATAAATACGTATACATTTCTTCGTAATCGATGCACTAATGAACAAGCACAATTTTGATACATGTTATCAGCACTTACCGGCAGAGGGATCACAGAATCGATAACCAATTAAAAATCAGATAAGAATCGATCGTTTAAACAAAGTAGTTGTCAACAATACCTTTTTACTAAACATCATGAATCCATCACAATATTTTTTTGTCTGTAGTAATAAATAAATATTGTGTATTATAAAATTTGCTACTAATTTATACTAACCGTATTATAAAAATTTCATATATTTTAAAATAAACAATGTTTTTTTTTTACTTAATGACAATTGTACGATAAAAGTTAAAAAAACCCGAAAATACGATGAAAATTAAACTTTGACTTTGAATAACTCGGGAAGGAGTCAATATATGGAAAAATGATAAGAGACCTTTTTTGTTAAGCGTTCAATTTTACATAAGAATCCGAGATGATCATTGCCATAAGTTGATTAGATATAAATTATAAAGTTATTTAGATGGTAGATATAAAATTCTAAAGTTAAAAACCTTTTTTTCCTATATTTTTAAGGGGGAATAGAAAATTACGATCCGTGACCTATAAATCTTCAAATTAAGAACTCACATTTTGTCGAGGTCCTTATTTTGGCATTCTCTGAGAGAATTTGCTGGCCATTTGAAAAAATCACAAAAGCCGATTTTTTTGAAACACCCTAATATATATATTCTTCCCCGGAACGCTTCACGTAATAATTATCCGTAACTCCTATTCTTTCCCGATTCACAGCATTATTTATATTTGTTAAAAAATGCTAGCCGTAAGATGGACGGGGTGGCTTAATGTATATAGAATAAGTGAAAAGAAATTTAGTATAGACCGGATAGCTCAAATAGTAGAGTAGCCGACATGTCTTCGGAAGGTTCTGGGTGCGAATCCCAGTCCGAGCTATCTAATAAATTTTTT